CTCTAGAAACAATATATGAGATCAAATTGTACATTACAGTGAGTAAAGTCGTAAAAAGTAAAAGACTCTTTCCCACGCCTTCGGGTGTATTGGGCATATAGGGCTATACCTAGGATTCATACACCAACCAATACACCTTGGTGGGTGATGTTATCAACATGATGCCGGCCGTCTTTACTTCCCATGACTTTACCAATTTAAGGCTGGGTCGACTCAGGGGCCAAGATCATTTTTTACAAAAAAGTCCCTAGCCTATCTACCAACCTCTGAAATATTAGACTGTCCCGTGACCTGTGGATTTTCCCTGTTTGGGGTAGGATATTATTAAAGTGCCAGCCTCTCTTTCTCTAGCTAATTTCCCAGCCCTGTGTGCTTTCACGGCCAATATAGATCATAAGAAGTGAATTAGCCGGCGGCGTGATACTGATCATATTACGCCCAGTTTCAACTGGACTAAAACTTTCGTTATGGCAATGACGAGGACGACACGATGGCGGTTGAGAGACACGGCTGTCTTCTTTTCCTTCGCCTTCGCCGGCTGTTAACTCCGGCAGAAAGTTCTGGTTGTTCGTCCACTTCCAGACTTTGGTCTTGATCCAGAACCTGATTTGTGCTTGCACATCCGTTTTACAGTCATGTCTCGTTTTGTATGCGGACTGTTGGTTCCTTTCATCTCAGACTGGTGCATTCCAACTTTTAAGGAAACAATCCTAATTAGTCGAATCATACGACATGCTTGTTAAGGGGGACAGTGGGTCTATTCTTCAAAATGGAGTTCCCGGAACCCACACGGGAAAGATCGACTGTGATTTGCTACACGACAATCAGACAGGACTGTTTGTACGGAAAGTATAATAAACACGCCACTTTGCTAAAGTTAACACACATACACATAGACACACACACACTCAATATTGCAAAGCATCTAAAAAAAAGTACACAAAATACGCCGGTCACCTTTACTTCCCCAGGACAAACATCCTAGTACCCATTTTAGGCTGGGTCGACCTGCGACGCCCCAGACCATGATTTAAAATCCACGCAGCCAGCAGCGGGTTTCGATCGTAGTACGTTGGAATTACGAGCCGGAATCGCAACGCCTAAGCCACGGACACCGCAACTCTATACATATCCCAGTTATAACTCAGAGGGGTTTAACGGGTTCTCATCTATAAACTACTACTACTGCTGCTGCTGATGCTGCTGCTACTGCTCCTACTACTATACTACTACTGCTAAAGTAGGGGTGAAAGTAGAATAATGGGAGTACATGAGATGTTGAATTGTTCTTTTTTCTTCTTCTGCCTATTATTCCCCAATGGAGCGTAGTCCATCAAACTCACGCCAAAACATCCCATCCTCTTCTACTGCACGCAACTCACTCCACGTCATCCCTATCTTTTGAACTTCCTTCTCTAGCTCCCTTTTCCACGGGTTTAACTGTATTCCCTAGCTCTCATCTCCAGTAGTCAGGAAACAAGAAAGCCAGGTCTGGAAAGTGGATGTGCACGCAAAACTCCAGGTTTAGACAAAATCAAAGTCCAGAAGTAGAAGAAAAACAAGAATTTTCGCCGGAGTTTACAGCTGGTGAACTCGAAGATGATAAAGAAGAAGAAGAAGAAGAAGAAGAAGAAGAAGAAGAAGAAGAAGAAGAAGAAGAAGAAGAAGAAGAAGAAGAAGAAGAAGAAGAAGAAGAAGAAGAAGAAGAAGAAGAAGAAGAAGAAGATGATGATGACAGTGACACTAATGATGATGATGAGGAGGAACAGAAGGACGAGGTTGAGTGGATGAAAAGGAGAGAAGATGAAGATGATATCAGGAGTAGACGAAGCGGGGGGGGGGGAGGAGAAGAGGAAGAAGAGTAGGAGAATGAAGAAGAAGAGGGGAGAAGATGAGGAGGAGAGGGAAGGGGAATAAGAAGACGCAGAACAGGAAGGCGAGGAGGAGGCGAAGTAGAAGAAAAGGAACCGAGTGGCTGAATACTGACCCTGCACGAGAACGAAAGGATCAATGCTGTTTCTTTCATATTTAACCTCCCTTACCTCTTTTTCCAATAATCTGGTCTTCCGTTGTTATTTTTTTTTCTTCTATGACACTGATTATACAATATTAGGTTCTCCAAACCTTTATTCTCTACTTAAGTGATTGTAAAACGGGTCATGATTCACAAAGCTAATCCCCAATTATGAAGAACGGAAGATTATGTAACTCAAAGCCCAAAGCAAATTACACAAAAGTATAATACCATCAAAAGAAGCTATGTGTAATAATAGTGGGTCTAATTGTCATGCATATCAATTTGTGTATCATAAAAGTAATAAAAATTCTATATTTATCTCTTAGCCACGCCCGGCTCGCTAGCGTAGTTGGTTAAAACCCTCTGCGCGGCGACAGGGGGACGAACTCCTTGTGGTCTGGGTTCACACCCGATGGTAGGCAGAAAAGCCAAATTGCTCCCAGATTTACGGTATCTATCATGGAATCAAGGCCGAAGGGTCACGATATCCATAGTAACGAGCCAAAGGGTTGCCAACTCATGGTTTCTGGATACTTTAAAAAAGATAATCTTTTAGCAAGCACCGAAATCAAACACGTCTTCATTCCCTTCTTCTCCTCGTCTTTTTCTTCTACTTCTACATATTTTTTTTTTTCATTTTCTTCTTCATCATAATCGATCATCCTTCCCAATCATCGTTTTCGTCGTCAACATCTTTCACAGCATCATCATCTTGTTCTTCTTCCTCTTTTTTTTTTTTTTACTTTTTCTGAGTTTTAATCTTCACAACCATAGAATTTTACTTCTACGTGTGAGACACATAGGATAATGAGACCTGGCAATCTCGGGTATGTAGCATGGACGCATGAGACCTGGCAATTTCGGGTATGTAGCATGGACGCATGAGACCTGGAAATCTCGGGTATGTAGCATGGACGCATGAGACCTGGCAATCTCGGGTATGTAGCATGGACGCATGAGACCTGACAATCTCGGGTATGTAGCATGGACGCATGAGACCTGGCAATCTCGGGTATGTAGCATGGACGCATGAGACCTGACAATCTCGGGTATGTAGCATGGACGCATGAGACCTGGCAATCTCGGGTATGTAGCATGGACGCATGAGACCTGACAATCTCGGGTATGTAGCATGGACGCATGAGACCTGGCAATCTCGGGTATGTAGCATGGACGCATGAGACCTGACAATCTCGGGTATGTAGCATGGACGCATGAGACCTGGCAATTTCGGGTATGTAGCATGGACGTCTTCTTTGTTCACCGGCTGTAAGCTCCGGCGGAAAGTCCTTGACGTTTGTCCATCTGGACTTTTGCGTTGTGCCAGGGCCTGAGTTTTGCGCGTACATCCAGGTGCCGTTGGTATTCCCTTGCAGCTTGGCCAGATGCACTCCGACCTTCGAAGCAAGCTCCCAAGTAAAAAGTGAAATTCCTTGTCGTCCCCCTGTGGGACGCAATTTTTTGTTATTTGAATTATTTCCGGGGCCTTTAATGTGGTCTAACAGCTGAACGGGGTTTCCGTGACCTCTCCACGGGTGATCCTCATCCGCATGGTGGCACTTTATCTCATCCGTTGTTTATCGCTTGTGTGATGTCCTGGTGGGGTGCAACTTACCTTACCTCACCTCCCAATTAGTCGACACCACGACATAATATGGGGAGAATGTGGGTCTATTCTTGTTTTCCCCCCACAAAAAGGGGTAGGCAGAAAAGCCACATTTCTCCCAGATTAACGGTACCTATCATGGAATCAAGACCGAAAGGTTGCGATATCCATCGTACCGAGCCAAATGGATAACAACTCATGGTTTCTGGATAATTTTTCTTCTTTCTCATTCTTTCCTCTCTCTAGGGAACCCACGCGGGGGTTTCGCATAAACAGATGCATATCACCAGACGGCTTTCTCAATACCGACTGAAACTTCGACAATATGAGGCAGTAGATAGCTAATGTATTGATATAATACGCCACCAATTGTCATCTACAATTATGATTTATACGCCACAGTGAGACATCGACGCCCTCACTCCCGCATTAAACGCTGAGAAGTCATGCGCTCCAATGTTCACATCAAGACAGTAGATGCATACGGCTATTCACCTGTATAAGAAGAACTCCACATGGAAGCTTGTACAGCAGTGGTCCACAGATCATCAGTAGAAAGATCCCTCGTCGACGATTGTTTCGGCCCGTTACCACTCCTATACAAACTCGGAACGTGGGCCGACCTGGGTCATGACTCCCAGGCCTGGATCTTTCCCTGCTGCATTTTACCGGAATATTCTTAGACCCGTCACTGAAGTAATACAAAGGGTTATAATCTGGGGATCGTTAGTTGTGTATCCTTTACAGGACGTTGCAGAACCAACCCCAGCATTTTTTTTTTTTTTTTTGCTGTTGTGGTTTTCTAGGCAAATTTACATTAAGTCGTTTACCACTGCCACTGAGCGGTCAGCTCTCCGTACTACTGTCAAAACCAACGCAAGAAAAACCGTCCGCAGCAGGGATCGAACCCGGCACCCCAGCACTATGAAGGCTGGGGATACATGAATTCATATTACAAACAAGTGTTCTTTATACATACAGAGTCGTCGTATAGGTTGGCAAAGCAGTTTTACAAACTCGTCATATCTGAGATAAAAGCCAGATGCAGTCGATTTGGTAGCAAACCGTTTTGCTTTAATTTTGATAACTATTAATTAGTTAGTTAATCGTGGTATTATGAGGAATTTTAAAAAAAAATTCAAAAGCATCATTTCTTTCCTTTTTTATTTCTCTTTCTAAACGATTTAGATGAGGAAAAGGAGGAGGGAATGGTGGTGGTAGCAGTGGTAGTAGTAGTAGTAGTAACAGGAAAAGAAGGGAAGGAAGAAGGGGGAGGGGAGGAAGAAGAAGAAGGAGGAGGAGAAGAAGTAGGATGAGAAGAAGGAGGAGGAGGAGAAGAAGAACCATAATAATCACTAACAAGATAAAACATCTTACCTTCCGTATTTTGCCTCGTTCCCATTGTCTTTACTTCGATATCCTTCAGCGTCACTGACTGCAACAAATTCTGCTATCCAATCCCAAATATGCGGTAGTTTCTAGCCAACGATTATAAATAATCTTCAATTCGTGCACTAGTGATACCAAATTGGTTGGCGTATCTCCCGTGTACAGTTTGCAGCGCTGTTTCTGCGAGAAGAAAGGAACAACTTAGAAAAACTGGTCTGTTTACACGAGCTGAAATGACGACTAAAGCCTGCCTACACAACTTGTAATCGTTTATCCGCTAACTCGCAGCGCAAACCTACAGTGACAAAATGTTGCGTCTCTGACGCTATTAGCTAAAAGTAAAGTAAAGGACCCTTTCATTATGGAGGTGACAGGTTCGATTACCGGCAAGATACTATAGATTTCGATTTTATTGTTGTATCATTTGCCCTCCTGTTTCTCAACATCTTTCTACAAGTGCCAATCAGTTCTTGTATATTTATTTATTGGCCTCATAGTTAAGTAAAGGAGCCTTTTCCACAACTTCATGTGTGCTGGGCATATAGGACAAGTCCTTATTTTATAAACTAATTGGCGCTAGGTATGTGGTGTGATGCCGGTCGCCTTTACTCCCCAGGACTTTACCTGGTACCTATTAAAGGCTGTGACGACCTTGGAGCCAGTCATTTCTAGAAAACAAACGGGTCTTTTTGGATTTGAACCAGCGACCTTAGTATCCACAGACGAGAGTCTAACCGCTACACCACGGCGGTTCCCACGTATCCTTTACATAACCTTGCTGAACCCACCTGCTGATAGTGATTTTTCTTGATGATTTTGAGTTTAGTAGTTTGCCATTAATTTCCGAGCGGTCGGATGTCGATATCGTCGTCGAAAGCAATGCAAAATGATCTACCGCCAAATCGCCCGCAGTTGGAATCCAAGTGGGGATCTTGGAATTACACATCTGTGTTCGCAACGCCTAAGCCACAGACGCTGACATAATCAACCTATTTCCACACACACGGCGGGTTGGGCATATGGTGCTATTGCTAGAATCTTCAATACCAATCAGTACTCGAGGAGAGATGTGGTCAACTAAGGCGGCTAACTTTACTTTCCATGACACTGAATAATGCCAGTCAGTGGCGATAGCGATTACACTGGAGAGGGTATCAGGTGATATTTTCCTTCTCGTCGCTTCGCTGCTGAGAATATGTATGCATAGCTTGCATTGCAGAACTAGTAACTGGTTAGCTTTCACGTGTTACAGTTTCTGTACGAGTGGTAAGCGTGCAGCGAGCGTTCTTTTCGCTGTGTAGTGCGGGCTTGTAATAAATAGTAAAACATTAATAAAAAGTAGTAAAATAATGTTTCTTACACTATGGAATTGCGTAAGTGGCAATTACACCGGCTGTTACATGCGCGCCAGTGTTATCCGTGTTGCATGGAAAGGGAAAACCAGGAAAAGAATATGTTTAAAGGAAAAACTGATTACACATAGGTTAAGAACTCAGAACTTAGGGGGAAAAACAGGTTTAACAGAGACGATAGCGACAATTTCCAGAAACTCCATGCGCTAACTGTGGAAGACTTCTTAACGCGCAAGAATTCGACTGACTACACAAGTGGTCTCCCGTGGGGAGGTGAGAAGGTTTCAAGTAGAGCGTCAAGTAGTTCGGAAATATAGTGCATTTGTACTCGTTATAATAGGGTTACTATTTTTTTTTTTTAGTTTAATTATAAAATATTTTAAAACTATTTTTAAAAACAATGATTACAGTGGCACCTCGTTATACGTCCGCTTTCTAACATTTCCATCTCGGTAAACGCCCTGTTTGGCATGAGTCAAGGATCTGGAACGAACTAGAGACGTATACCAAGGTACTACTACTGTACTTCTATTCAGGGATAAGGGGGTAGGTTGTGCAGCTTAGCCACACACACAAATTATAAATAATTTGCTAGGGGCATTCAAGGTGCACAAAGCCCCCTCCCCTCCCCCTCGTTCCAGGTTCCAGCGCTTCTGTCAAGTTACTACTACAACCTAATTTACACCACGTTTCGCTAACCCGACTCAATGACAGTCTAGTTAACTGTCCAAACACAAAAATAACGGGCACCGGCTGACAGACGACAGTCCCAGTGCAAGAGTGTTGTAGCAGCTGTGTATGGGCGTTTATGTTCGCACTGCAAATGACAAGGGAGGGGGGTGATTGGCGGAAAACAAAATGTTTGAGAAAGACTGGTGCTTTTTTGTTGAAGAGACTATGGTCGAGTTTACAGCCGGTGTATGCTAAGAAGAAGAATAAAGGTAGAACATGCAAGACATGGTGACTGAATATTGTGGGTATGTCGGGGGGTTCCTCCGGGTTGTTATCTGCAAGTCTAACCATCCCTGCGAAATAAAGAGTCCCAACCTATATTAAAATCGACACCGGAAACCTTAGATACCTCGCTGCAAAGAATAGAACAAAAGCGAAACTTTTATTCATTCATTCATCTTCTTCTACAGCTCTTCTCATGTCCTCCCC